CAAACAGATAGAAGGAGCACCTATGGGATCACCCCTCTCACCGGTCATCGCAAACCTGTACATGAACACTTTGAAACCAATGCTTTAGACAAGTCAGAACACAAACCCAAACTTTGGCTCAGATATGTTGACGACACCTTTGTAATTTGGCCACACGGGAAGGAAAAACTAGATAGCTTCCTCACACATCTCAACAGCCTACACCCCAAAATACAATTCACTATGGAAATAGAAGCCAACAACCAACTTCCCTTCCTTGACGTCCTAATCTACAAAAAACCTGATGGCTCCCTAGGACCACACTATCTACCGGAAAAAACACACACCAACCGCTACTTACATGCACAATCACACCACCACCCTGCACAAATAACTCCGTAGCCAAGACTCTCATCTCCAGAACCCAAACCGCCTGGCTGAACCAAAGACCACTTGACAACTGAGTTACAGAATCTCTCAAATGTGTTAATCGCCAATGGATACCAGCAAAAACAGGGTTACGAAGCTAATCCAAAAAGAAACACCCCCAAAACCAAGACACAGAAGAAAACAATGGCATGGCCCCTCCTTCCTTACATCAAGGGCATACAGATAAAATTAGCAAAATCCTCCATAAACACAATATCAAAACAGCCTTTTGCACCAACCAAAAAATAGCCAATATCCTCAGAAACCCCAAGGATAGAATCCAGTTGGAAAACCAAGGGGTCTATGAAATACCCTGCAAAGTCTGCCCAGCCACGTACATTGGACAAACAAACAGACGAATAAATGCACGTATCGCAGAACACAAGAATGCCGTCAAAAAGAGGAAAAAACTTCCTCTCTTTTCCAACACATGAAAGAAACAGGACACGAAATTAATTTTGCAGATTCCAAATTGGCTCTTTAACATGGAACATCACCACAAGAGATAATCATGGAAGCCATCGAGATAGAGAAACACCCTCACAACATGAACAAGCGTGATGACACATCCCGCTTGCCAGGACATCTGGAAATTAGCCCTCCCCACAAAAACCGACACCAAGATCCAGAGGCACACAGAACGCCCATCACCAATCAACCACACCAGACCCAAACCCAGACCCTCTCCACAGATAAATTACAGACACCATCCAGTAGCCAAACCATGGTGGAACCTCCGGATGCTGCACCCCCTGCAATCCCTACACAGATCTGGCTGGCACAGGCCACAAAACCACAGCTCGCCCCTATACACGAAGCCAAGCCAGAGCCAAGTTCAAGCCAAGTTCAAGAGGTCAAGACACGAAGGCTTTAGCAACTAATCCACACCCTAATGACCCACCCAAGTGGTACTCAGGATATCACTCAAGAAATCACTCCAGATATCCCTCCAGTAATTAAGGAACAAAAGAAGAAAAGGCACACTAGCCTGGGAACTTCCTCCCTGCCCAGAACATTGGAGGCTATACACCACACCTCCTCAACAGTATTTATAGGAACTCAAACACTGAGATCCTGCTCTGTTCCAGTAACAAGAAGCCGAAAACACCAGCCTGAAGATGACGAGTGAGACCTCGTCGAAACGTCGCCTAGACACCCCAACTTTACACGGGAAGACACCCGAGGACACCAAAACCTGCATATATATATATATATATATAGGAACAGAGGAAAAATCATGTCTAGATGAAGGATTTGTATTAGAAAGACCCAGCTAAATAAGATATTAATATATATCTGCAATATGGATGCAAATCAAATGTGATCTACCATGAACACTAAATTCTGGGTTGCAATATTTAGTTATTGAATTAGTTTGATTAATTAATTGAAAACGGTTTTGTCAGCTACAAACATGCCACTTATTAATTAGGGAACCCATAAGCACAGGAATGTGCTTAATGAAAATTTTGACACCCTTGTATTTGAACAGCAGATCAATATGCCATATCAGAAACTCATTTTGAAACTTCACTCGAATTAATGTTTAATATGCACAAGTCCAAATCCCTATTGGGTATGCAGAACTAATTGTGTGGTTCTTTGGAACCTGGCTAAAGCATTTTTTCCCTTGGAAACTGTTGTTTTATTGTTAAAGAAATTTAATTAAGAAATCATCATTAAGTGACCAATTACATTATTTACAGTTAATCAGCTGAGGTTTATCTCATCAAAAGATAGCCCTACTAAGTTCAGGGGGGGGGGGAAATCACTTTAGAACATAAAAAATTGAGGAATAAGGTGATTCATAGTTAAGACTTTTGAGTTCTTCTCTCTATATAGTGTCTCTACTCTTTTGTTTTGGTGACTGGTTAGGACCAGGAAGAGCAAAGTCCATGAAAGATGGATGGGAAACAGGCAGAAGTCTGCAAAGACCACCCATTTTAAAGGTAAGAAACAAATTATTTATAACAACTCCTATCCAATTCCTAAACATAATTCATACACAGAAGAACACTGATCTTTAGAAGCTGCAATGAATGTAAGATTTTCAGTATTCCTCAGCTATTTCTTGTCATTAAAGTGTTTTATTGATCTTTATGATGCCTCCCACAACAATGAACACACACAACAGTATATTGAAACAATACGTTTCCAGACAAAATGCAGTTTTTTGAGCAAAGGAGATAACATGGAAACTGCTGCGTATTGGAATCCCCCACAAATGGATATTACTATATGAGTGGATCACGAGGGGGAATTAGCCACTAAAAAAAATAAAAGTCTTCCTTTTAATTCCAGCTTGGTGACAAAGGAATCTTACTTGTACCAGGAAGTGAATGGGCAGTCTTTCGATTGGGACATTCAGGTGTTATAACGCACATAGAAATAGACACCAGTCACTTTAAAGGTACAAATTTCTTGTTATGTTAGTCTTATGTCAAACCCTCTTTACCTAGATAACTCTGTGAAAAGTTTACTACTATTCAATGTGTTTCCAAAAATTTTGGTCCAAACAGATAGATAGATAGATAGATAGATAGATAGATAGATAGATAGATATGGAAGATTTGGTTAAAATTCAGCAAATTTTGTTATACTAAATCGAGCATAATGAATGTTTTAAAATTTTGTCCCTCCTTTCAAACTGTAAGAGTCAGGCAGATGTTTTAAGAAGCAGGCTGTAGTGGGTAATATTAATATTTCACCTTTGAAAATGCCACAGGGTACTACTATATAATCTGTGCAGTATGATCCTAAGCATGTTTATTTTTTGGGGGGGGGGCTCTTATCACTGAATTCAGTGGAGTTTTACCTCAGCAAGTGTGCAAAGGGTTCCAATCTTAAAATGCAACCATATATCTCTTTACTCAGAAGTAATACTTACTGAGTTGAATGGGACTTCTTCCTGGGTAAGTGTATATAAGATTGCAGCCCTAATTTATTTGGAAGGAACTATTAGCATATCACATTCAATTATTTTATTTTATTCCATTTCACTATTAGGAAACTTTCCAGATACATTTAAACTTGAGGCCTGTATTTTGAATACAGAAGAAGAAAATGAATATAATGCACAAAGTGGACTTTGAAGCAAGGTCCAAAATGGAACACACTGGTACCTGCAACAAAGGTCAGCTTTGAATCTCTAGATCAACTGAATATGAATATATCTGTATTATGGGTGGGAAGCACTTTACAAAAAGCAATTATGAGTTCCAGAAAAACAAAAGCGACAAACATACAACATCCACAAAGCGTGTTCTCCCTCATGGAGAGCATGTGTTGTGGTAGGGTCTAACAGGACACCCCCTCTTGGTTATTGGGCGGGACCATTCGGATGGCCATGACTGTGATTGGGCCAATTTGGGTTGTTGGGGGGATTTTGATGTTACCATTTAAAGGGTTGGCCCGAAGGTTATATATTCTTGGCATGTAGCCTTTTGCAGTCTCTTTTGCTGCGTGCATCGGATCGCCCGCTCACCCTCCCTAATTTAGGGCTGTTGCGTTTGACATTGCTATGCCTGTCATGGGGTCATCTGCTTTTGGGGCAGGGGCCTGGTAGGAATTTTGTCCATTTGGCAGATTGGCTGGTGCCATTTGGTTTTTGCCTACTGCAAAATCCGGAAGTCAGTTCTGTCCCTGGACGGGGACAGATAGTTGGAACCAATGCCTACACAACCACTCACATTTATGTATTTTAATAAAGTTGTGGCCAAAATTATGCCAAAAACCTTAAACAAAAATTCTGTGTGAATTGTGATTTATTTAGGGGGTGGCTTGGGGACCTCGACACGCAACTAGACAAAAAATATAAGATTGGAATGAGAATCTTGTCTGCAACTACTATTACCAAATTTACTGTGTTCTTTCTCCCCAGCTTAAACCTCATACGAGACATTTTTTTGATGGTACTACCATAAAGATGCTGGATGTGTTTACTCATGTGAAACTTACTTTTGCTCCTGATGGAGGTGTAAGTAGGATGCGTCTCTGGGGATTTCCACGGGCCTTGCCAGACACGAGGAAGTAAAAATGTTCTCAGGAAAAAGGCTCTGCAGAATTTCACTCATGGTTAATACAAGACCGAATACAATTCATCTATCTGCATTCATTGAATTATACAGTTTTCCACATCATTGGTTCAAATGCAACAATTTGTTACGGTTGTACAATAACATCATTTCTCTAGCTGAATGAATAATTTACATATATATTTGCTAACAGGTTATCGGATTTGGAAAATGGTATTATTTATTAAACAATGTTAAGAGGCAATGAATGCAGCTGTCGAACAGATAGAGCACATAAGGTAGAAAGGTTTTGTTTTTGTTTTTTAAAGCGCAGTTACATATCAAGCCGGTTATATTGTTTAGAGTGTTGGACTAGGATTTGTGAGACCCGGATTCAAATCTCCACACAGCCATGAAGCCTGCAGGTTGACCCTGGGCCAGTCAGATACTCTTAGTTTCTTGCCTCGCAGGGTTGTTGTGAGGATAAAACAGGGAAGTGGCAGAACTGCACTTGCCACCTTGAGCTCCTTAGGTGAAAGGTGGGATATTAATGCAATAATAAATAACCAGGACTGACCCAAGGCAGTTTGCTGCCTGATGTGCGGCACTGCAAAAGGCATTCCCTGCCCTGTCAATGTCAATAGTACCCAAAGCAGAAAATCGCACTTCTCCCCTCCCTAGCAATAAGAATATTTTTTTAAAAACTAAGAATTTAATGGCATCCAAAATCAGCTCCCTGAGGTTTTCCCCTCATTCTGCCTTGTGTGAGGACCAGTCCTATTCATTAAAAAAAAAAAAAATCCTAGGTGCAATCTAATTTTCAGTTTTGCTTACCTTAGTCCGGAATATCCAAAATATGTCCTCATATATGATGCCGTTTATCACAGCCTTATTCTATGCTAACTTGGAATAATAAATAATAATAATAAATTATTCCTGCTTGATTTGATTGAAAAATTCAAGCAAGTGTGCTTAGGAGTGCAACGTTAAGAAATGCTGATCACAAATAGCTAAGAGATTCTGGAACTATTAATTATCAAAACAGAGAGCAAAACTGTATTGAACATCTGGGCAAGAATATGCTTCAGTATGTTTGAAGTTTGTGTGTTAAGAATCAATCTTGCATTATTTTTGCTTAGATAGTTGTGCCTATCTTTTCCTTTTGCTATCTAAAATTGAATTATGTTATAATAAAAGAATACTTACCCTTCCTGGTTCGTACATTGCATACTTTATATTCTGTGCTTCCATCTTTTCCTATTGACCCAAATTTATTTAACTTTTGTTGGTACTTCTGGTTGTTTGTTTGTTTTGTTTTGGAGAGTGTGTGCTTTTCAGGTGTTGGGACACACCACCAAGCTAGCAGATCTCCTACTCAATCACCTTTCTTTGTGGTTAACTTTGCCCCAGACATGGGTAGGCAAACTAAGGCCCGGGGCCAGATCCGGCCCAATCACCTTCTAAATCCAGCCTGTGGACAATCTGGGAATTAGTGTGTTTTTACATGAGTAGAATGTGTCCTTTTATTTAAAATGCATCTCTGGGTTATTTGTGGGGCATAGGAATTCGTCCCCCCCCCAAATATAGTCCGGCCCCTCACAAGGTCTGAGGGACAGTGGACTGGCCCCTGCTGGAAAAGTTTGCTGACCTGAGCTAAAACAACGGTTGGGGTTGGAAAACGGATGTATAACACCCCTGCCCCATTTCTAGTAAGAATAAACGAAAAGATTTGATGAAAATAAATAGGCCTGCTTCTCTGAGTGAATGGGAGAACAATGCCCCTTTTTAGAGCCAAGTCACATGTTGTAATAAAATTAATATATTAAAAAAAACATGGTTAGATACTCAGGGTGGTATTGAACTGGGTTTGATTTAAGAGTAGACCCAATGAAATTAATAAATAGAACTAAGCTTGGCCTGCTCTGGGTAAAACAGAGTTGAATCCCACCCACGGTGAAATCCTATGCATGCTTACACAGAAGCATATCTCCAATGGGGCTTCCTCCCGGAGTTGCTGGAGGATGCAGTCAGGGCCGGATTTAGGTTTAATAAGCTACTGAAAGTAATGGGGCCCTTTATATGACCAGCTGTCCTTTGCCAACAACAAACACTGTTTTTTGTGTTGAATATATGCTATATGGTAATTTATGGACCTAATAGGTATCTAAAGCCATTTGCCACTGTTGCTGTATGTAGGTTTTATTTTATTTGTTTTTTAATCTTCTATTTTGGAAATGTACATCCAGATTTTTTTCCTTTAAATTTTTTGGGGTCCCCCAAGAGAGTGGGGCCCTAAACTAGCTTGTTTAGCTATACGTTTAGCTTATTGAAACAAAATAAATAAATAAATAATAATAATAAAAAAAAATTCCTTCCAGTAGCACCTTAGAGACCAACTAAGTTTGTTATTGGTATGAGCTTTCATGTGCATGCAAACTTCTTCAGATACGGCTATGCTCGTTTACCTAGGAGTCAGCCGCAATGAACATGATTTGGCATTGCACTGGAAGGCTTAAAAAACGTTTGCTTGCGGCGCTGTGGGTTAAACCACAGAGGCTAGGATTTGCCAATCAGAAGGTTGGCGGTTTGAATCCCTGTGACAGGGTGAGCTCCCATTGCTCGGTCCCTGCTCCTGCCAACCTAGCAGTTCGAAAGCACATCAAAGTGCAAGTAGATAAATAGGTACCACTCTGGCGGGAAGGTAAACGGTGTTCCGTGCGCTGCTCTGGTTCACCAGAAGTGGCTTAGTCATGCTGGCCACATGACCCAGAAGCTGTATGCCGGTTCCCTCGGCCAGTAAAGCAAGATGAGCGCCGCGACCCCAGAGTCGGTCACGACTGGACCTAATGGTCAGGGCTCCCTTTACCTTTAGATAGATAGATTCTTTATTGTCATTACACAAGTGCAACATTGCACAAGTGCAACGAAATTGGATGCCATCCCTTAAAAACAACAAAAGCAAATCAACAACAACAACCAAACACCAACCAAACAAACCACCTTCCAGCCACACCCATACCTATCCCTCTCTCTCACAAAGTCGGCCTCCCCTTCCAATATCTTGCTTTCCAAACGATCAGGTCCCAGCTGATGCTTGCAAAAGAAAAAAAGGGCGGAATTATCTGTTTCCTCCTTATTTTGAAATGCCCTCCCTGTCCCACAAGTGCATTTGCGTTGCTGCGAGAGATCTGCTGAAGGTTGTGCAGATTTAGCAGGGCTGGCTCGCCGGTTCTTTTCTCGGTTCTTTCAACGAAGGAGGGAAACACACAACCTGGGTTTTGTTTTGTTTGCATCGAGGGCATAGCAATAAGCCCAGGCGGGGCGCGAGGCGGCAATTGATCTGCGTTGTGTGGGGAAAAGAACCAGGAGACGGTGACCAGGAGAAGAGAGGGGATAACTTTGCACCCCCAGAAGAGGGGGGTGCGTAGTTGCAACTCTCTGAGGAGACAGCAATGAGGAAGAGGATGGCGCTGCGGGGTTTTCACCCTTTTATTTTAAACTGGAAATGAAGCGCGCGGTGAGTGAGGACTTGTAGAAAATGAAGAAACTCCCCAGGAACGGGAGAGTCCTTGGTTTGAGGGGAGCTGGTCGTTGCTGCTGCACGTGGCCATTTTCCTTGACCCATAAGTGGGGCAGGGGGGTCACACGGTTGGCGCCGAAGGAGGCGCCCGCCCGCACAAGTCTCGCGCTTCCCGCCTTCCAAGGCTTCGGGATCGCGCGCAGCCCTCAGGGCGCGCCTGGGAATCCCTTTGCAGCCTGAGACACCTCCCTCCCTCTCCCAATGCGTTTCCAGGGAAACCCTTGTGGGGACCTATTTTGTTGGCTGAGGGCTGCAGTCACAATCCTGCTACACACAGCGTGATGTCAGGCTTTTATGTATTGGGGGTGTGAGGCTCAGGTGGGAGAGACACACACACACACACACACACACACAAAGTTGCCCCTTGGAAAACTTTGGGGTGGGGCTAGGGTGGGGTGGGGGTGTCCCCACTTTGGTGCCACTATGAAGTAGGTGGTAAGAGGTCTGAACTGGAGTTCTGCAGCCACCTTCTCTGCCCCAGTTCCCTTTGCTTTGGGGTGTATGGGAGGGGTCCTGGATTTGTTTATTGGGGTTTCCTTTCTTTTTTAAATGCACTGCTGTATATTTTGTGTTCTTCCCCAAACGCCACTCCTCCCCAGCCCTCACTGTTTGTCTGAACTGGTGACTTCAGTATGGTGGGAGCGACTCGGCCTCGAGCCGTCTATAGCTTGACAGACGTCACCCCTGCCCGGACGATTTGGGTGTACCGTAATGGCGACCCCTTCTATTTGGGAAGGAAGTTTGTGATCAACCACCGCTATGTGCCTAACTTCGAAGCCTTCATGATACAACTCAACGAAGGCGTGGCCACACCCTTTGGGGTGAGGAAAATATACACACCCCGCCAAGGGCATTCGGTTATGGACCTGACCGACATTGAGCAAGGAGGCAGATACGTGGTTGCCGGCAGGGAAAGGTTTAGGAAACTGAAGTAAGTATGAAGAGGTTTGAACGGAGGCGATCAGGAACAATTTGGGTGATGCAGATCCTGTAGTCTAGTGTATCAAAATGCGCAGGAACTTGAGATTTCTCTTCCAGCGGAAACCGGAGTGGCTTGCCAAGACATGCACATTGTAGAGAATTTTAAAACGTTAGCCTTGCATATGAAAGGGTTGTCCCTGTATTTCCTAAGAAAATAGAATTGTAGAGCCTGGAAGGTCAGGAATCACAGCTAAGGAATCTCTGAGGTTGACAGCACAGCCATATTACCTAGGCTTGACACCTGAATGTACTACACCAGAAAAAAGTGCCTGTGTTGCAAAAGGTTTCGTGTCCCCCTTCCATCATGTGGACCTTGCTTTGATTTTGCAATTCTGGCCTTTCAGATAGCTTACACTCTTTACAGAGACCGAATGCATCCAAACCCTACCTGTGTAGACATACGCAAATAGGGACTGGCCTCTTAATACAGGACTGAGGAACCTGTGGCGCTTCAGATGTTGCAGGACTGCTACTTCCTTCACTCCTGATTGTTTGCCAGGCTAGGGCTGATCGGAGTTGAATGTAGTCCAATAACATCTGAAGGACTCCCTGTTCATTACTCTTAACGCAAACAACTTCTTTTTCTGCTTTGTGTCTTCTCCCTTTCCAGTGCTCTTTGATGGTGTTCACTATTATGCTCTCCGTTGCCAATCCTCTATCCTTCCCTCCTTCATTCCCTTGGTTACGAGCCCAAAACAAGTCTGCAGACTCTTATGATTGCTTACTATTTCACTAAAGGGTGATTGAGTAAAAACATCTAAGATTTCCAACTTAAATGTGAATCTCCTGTCTGGAATACAACAGTAAAAAGCATTACACCAACGTGTTCCTGACATTGTTCTTGCTTGGTGAATTTAATGGAGAGAAGTGCAGGCAGAAATTGGAATCACTCACAGATAACAATTCTTTGAATACTGAAATGCAGCTTTCAAGGCCATTTATTTTAATTCTGAGCAGCGGTTTTGAGTAGGCTGTGTTTACATTCCTCTCTGTGTTGTAAGTGCAAACCCGTTTGATCAGATTTTTGTTTGAACCTACTTATGCCCTCACAAATGCAGGATGACTGCTGTTTGCATTTGTTTATTAGTGTTTCAGGGCAGAGGAAATAAAATCCATTTCCTTGCTCTTCTCAGAGTTCAATACATTTGGAGTAAACATGGAATGCAGAGGTTTCACTGTAGGTTACAAGTTTGTAAAGTGCCTATAAATTTGTGAACTTGGATGCCTGTGAAGTGACTCTTATACATTTGAAGAATTGAAAATGACACCACACTACAGTAGATTTAAAATAAACTGAAAGATCCCAAGCACATTCTGTTTATGGGTATGGTAAAGTACAGTAACTTTACAGCGTCATTTTTTTATTATTTATTCTTAAGCATTTTCTATGAGGCAGTCATTTGTGGAAAACTTGAATGTTTCTAAAACAACAGTCTTGTGGAACCTTAAAGAGTAACAAGTTTATTATTTACTTTACTTTATTTATTTATTGAATTTATATACCACTCTATACTCCCAAGTCTCAGGGCAGTTCACAGAATAAAATCAGAATATAAATATCACAAAATACATAATCAAAATAAAAACAAAACCACCCAGGAACCCTCCCCCTCAACACATTTCAAAAGGGCATAAGATGTCAAAGGAATGTTTTTGACTGGTGCCTAAAGGTGCATAATAAAGGCGCCAGGCGAACTTCCCTGGGGAGAGCATTCCACAGATGGGGAGCCACTGCAGAAAAGGCCCGTTCTCGTGTTGCCACCCTCTGGACCTCTCCTGGAGGAGGCACACGAAGAAGGGCCTCAGAAGATGATCTCAGGGTCTGGGTAGGTGCATATGGATGGCATATAATGGCGTAAACTTTTGTGGACTTATCCCTACTTCATCTAAGTCAGTGAAAGCTTAAACCCTTTCTCTCCTGCTCTGAGACTTCAAAACGAGTTGCTCTTTCAAAGTCAGATGCCTGTATCTGGTGGTACAACAGCCTCTTTTTTCTGGTATTACATTTGGACTAAGAAGATGAATTTGCAAGCTGTTGAATAACATTCTGTTTATTCTGATTATATTTTTCCTTTTAAGTTATTTCAGTATAGGGGCAAAGAAACCTCAAAGAAAGAAGAGGGATGAGGTGGTGAGTATTTGATCAGTGGAGTTTTCATTTATTTGGCAGCAGGAAACGTTTGCTCAGTCTTCCTAGCACCAACTCATTTAAAAAGACAAGTTCAAGGCACCTTTGAAATTATGCTAAAGTCATGCTCAACTTCCATAAGCTCCGGCCAGCATCGCCCCAATGACCAGTGATTTTTAAATCCCCGGAGGACCGCAGGTTCCCCACCCTTCCTTTAGACCAGGGGTAGTCAACCTTTTTCGTGGGTGGCGCTGTGGGTTAAACCACAGAGCCTAGGACTTGCCAATTGGAAGGGCGGCTGTTCATATCCCTGCGACGGGGTGAGCTCCTGTTGCTCAGTCCCTGCTCTGCCAACCTAGCAGTTCGAAAGCATGTCAAAGTGCAAGTGGATAAATAGGTACCGCTCCGGCGGGAAGGTAAACGGCGTTTCCGTGCGCTGCTCTGGTTTGCCAGAAGTGGCTTAGTCATGCTGGCCACATGACCCGGAAGCTGTACGCCGGCTCCCTCGGCCAGTAAAGCGAGATGAATGCCGCAACCCCAGAGTCATCTGCGACTGGGCCTAATGGTCAGGGGTCCCTTTACCTTTACCTAACCTTTTTATACTTACCACCCACTAATGCATTTTTCTTGATGGTAAAATTTCCTTACCACCCACCAGTGGTGCAGTAACATGTGGTATAGAACCCCCTACTGCCCACCTGGAATCCTGAAACGCCCACTAGTGGGCACTAGGGACCAGGTTGACTACTTCTGGTTTAGACTAACCATGATTTGTTTATGCAAAACTGCAAACAATGGGTAGATTAAAAGTGGAAGCAAAGAAAAGAACCCCCACTCCCTTTTGATGCTGTTGTTTGCCCATAGAGAGACCTGTAAGTTTGGCCATGGAGTAAATAGATAGCTGTTTTAGGGAGATTTTAATCAGGAAGACAGTACTGGGGTGGAAAGGCTAACCTCTCTCCTCCCGCATACCTTAGAAACATGTTGCATCATACAATTTGAGTTTCACTGTTTTTGCAGATTCGACCCGTGGTCCACAGTAATATAAAAGTACCTTCCAAATGGCATTCAAACTATAATAAGCCACTAAATATTAGGTAAGTATATGGTTATTGTTGTTGTTGTTTAAAAATAGTGCATATATTATTAACAAATCCTCAGATGTTATCAATGTTCTTCTGAAATAAAAAATAACTATAAAGATGGCTAGAGTGTTTGACTAGGATCTGTGTTCAAATCCTTAGTTAGGCATGAAGTTAACCAGGTGACCTTTGGCTAGTCATTGCCTGTGTCTGAAACATCACGACTAGGCACATCCAAAGTCCGCTTTGGGGGCCCAATTCAGCCAGCCGGTTGGTTTAATCTGCGGGCCCCTGTGGCAGTTTATTTCCTGGGGTAAAATCCTAAAAAAACCTCAACAACTTAAATCCTCAACAACTTTGGTTGGCCCTCATGGCCCTTCACTTCATCAAATCTGGCCCTCTTTGAAAAAAGTTTGGACATCACTGCGTGGCATAAACCATGGCTCGCCATGCACAAAGACTGGGGACAAATAAACAACAATCCCCAGTTTAATGTTACCTATGAACAGGTGCAGGTAATCTTGGGCCATCTAGATGTCCCTGAGCAATTCGCATCATCCTTGGCTGTTGACCATGTGCACTAGTCTTATGGGAGTTGTAGTTCAGTAACATCCGAGGGCCTGAAGTTTCCCACACTTGCCTCAGAACAAGGGCTGCAAACGGGCACGACAGTCTTTGCTCCCTTTGTGTGCTAGTGGGAAGGAGCAAAACTATTGGGCACATTCATGGTAAATGATTAACTGTGGTTTACCATGGTATGCCCTCGGGGCTGCTACTTCTCAGCCTAGCCTATGTCATAGGATTGCTGTGGACAGTGCTTTTTTTCTAGAAACCTAACTCACCATGATGCTACAGTAAGTGCTACTCTTTTTAACAACAGCAAAAAAGAGGTTCCAGTACTGTGTACCCTTGAGTGCCCCTTGGGGAAAAAAGCACTGGTTGTGGGGAGAGAATCATGTATGCCGTCCTGAGCTCCTTGGAGAATGGATGGGATAAAAATACACAGAATAAATTACAGAACTTGCTGCTGTCTTTAGTTCTTTTGTAGGACAAGGGAAGTAAGCAGAGTACCAAGCTTTCACACTGTTTTAGCATTCACAGCAACTAGTATTTGAACAATTTGTATTGCTTATCTGGATTGACAAGGATCACGTAAAGACAATCTAATTCTCACTTTTTCAGACTTATGTAAAGAAAAAGGGCAGGGATGGGAGTGTTTAAAAGTACTTGAAAATGGGTTGGGATATCCTTGACCAGAAGTACTAACAAATACCTTCTTTAGACTATTCATATTTATTATTGGCACAATATATCTGTAAATGAAATACATTTTAATTTAGGGTTCATGGTTTGTATCTATGCCCTGAGAATTCCACTAGATGGCCCCAAATATCCTCTGATAGCAACCTCTGTGGCTTGTAGAATTTTGTTTTAAATATAAGCAGCCAAATATAAATATTTGACTTGAGAGTTAATCTGAAATCAAGCTGGATTTGAGTTTGTTGGTGTCTCTGGTAACGTCTCTCTCTTACATAATAGATGGTGGTTCATATTTATGGATGGATGTTCTGTATTATTTTGTTAATACTATTGCTACAAGTCTGTCATTGCCTTTTGCTTGAACAATAAACCTATTTGTTTTGAGACCAGAATTGTATATCAGATCATGGAGGTTTGTACCTTGCAATTTTGGGTACATAGCTGTACTGTGGATGATATTTGAATATTTATAAGATAAAAATGCACTTGTAACCACACACACACAATAACAGTTCTTGTAATGTGAATTAAATATCTATTGAGGTCCTGTTACTTGTGATGTTTAGGAACTGTATTCAACTAAGTTGTTACCTTAATCAGAGTAGACTCATTGAAATTAATGAACTTAAGTCTGTGCACACATTAGTGGCTTAAAACACATCGAGGTTGCTTTCTCTCTGTGTTTTTCAAGTTCAGTTTGCCTGTTGCTGTGCAAATTAGCATGGCTTGATGTGTATTGAAGCCACATGCTGTATGCCCACACCAGTAAGTGGAAACTGGGTAGTGATGTCTTCACCTTATGAAATTGCCAAACTGTTTCCCCACACAGTTTCCACCCCTGGAAATTCATAAGGAAACCTCAAATGTACAGACCCAGGTTTCAATGTGTTCAAGTTGCCTTTAAGGTGGCTTGGGAGAAAGAACACCAATACACAGTATTTCGCTAGATAATTCTGGGCAAATTTATGTGTACACAGATTCAAAAATGAGTGGTTGTGGCACAAAAGAACCAGAGTAAAATCATCATGTCTGTTAACTTCAGTGAATTTAGTAAATAGGATAAAATGGGAGAGGCAGGGGCGTTTATGCTGACTTAATTTCTTTAGAGGAAAAGGTGGAATATAATTGTGATAAATTATTAGCTTAGAAAATCATGCAGTGCTATTCTTTGGAATGAAGCAGAGAGCTGTAATATCAAATCCTCAAATATACTGCTAACTAGCCAGATTGTGATCTTTGCTGCCCCAGAATGAACCTTCTCATTTTCTGTCTTATCTCTCTGCAACCTTTAGGCCAGGGGGTAACAGGTTAGAAGCAAGTATGAAATACTCTATTAGAAGCCAAATTAACCAGCTGAATGGTTAGCAGAATCTTAAAAGCTTGAGCTTTGCAGCTCTCTTAGTTTCCGTCAAGAAAAGCCAGTTTATGCATAAAAGACTTCTGGAGCAGGGTCGGCTGTAATGGGAATACTGTAGACTGGAAAGAACACCTCTGAGTCAGTCTCTCACCCCAAAAGTAATGAACCATAGCACTTGACAGACTTAAAGATGAGCTTCATCCAGGTGATGATCAACACTGTCTGTAAAGATACAATTAAAACCCAGGCAGCATCTAGCACAACATGTTGCTATTGCTACAACAGCATATAATTAAGTAGTCCACCAAGACCCTCAGCAATTCTGAAGTGATCTGTGTGGAAAAGTTTGAGAACCACTGCAATAATGTAGTTTTATTGATACACTCTGTGATGCTAAAGCAGGATGTGAAAGTAGGTTGGGGTCAAGTATACAGAGCTGGATATTTAGCACTGCTGCCACGAAATTAAAAGACGCCTGCTCCTTGGGAGAAAAGCAATGACAAACCTAGACAGCATCTTAAAAAGCAGAGACATCACCTTGCCAACAAAGGTCTGTATAGTTAAAGCTATGGTTTTCCCAGTAGTGATGTATGGAAGTGAGAGCTGGACCATAAAGAAGGCTGATCGCCGAAGAATTGATGCTTTTGAATTATGGTGCTGGAGGAGACTCTTGAGAGTCCCATGGACTGCAAGAAGATCAAACCTATCCATTCTGAAGGAAATCAGCCCTGAGTGCTCACTGGAAGGACAGATCCTGAAGCTGAGGCTCCAATACTTTGGGCACCTCATGAGAAGAGAAGACTCCCTGGAAAAGACCCTGATGTTGGGAAAGATGGAGGGCACAAGGAGAAGGGGATGACAGAGGACGAGATGGTTGGATAGTGTTCTCGAAGCTACCAGCATGAGTTTGACCAAACTGTGGGAGGCAGTGGAAGACAGGAGTGCCTGGCGTGCTCTGGTCCATGGGGTCACAAAGAGTCGGAAACGACTAAACAACAACAACAACATCCTATTGTAGTCATAGTTAACTCAGCCTTATATATCAGATGTGTTGCTTAGCTTTTCATATGAGAGAGTAGAACTACTACCCCTTTCATAGTAACATGCTTTAAGGAAGTTAACAGCAGTGTTAAGAAAAATCCTTTCAGCAAATCTTGTTGCTGCATTGTGTGTGTTGGCTCTTCGTTTGATTACACTATTACTGTAGGAGGAATGATGCCCCACTACACAGACACACTTTAAGCAGGGGAAAATAGAGGAGTGGAGATTTGGAATAGCCATTCTCCAAAAATATATAGGTACTTCAACTGGCTTAGTGTCTGCCTGTGATTTATCCAAACTTTTGCTTCTTTTCAAAGCTTTTGCAGCCCAGTTCCTAATCATATTTATTCAGAAGTAAGTCCCATTGATTTCATTTATACTTAACTTCCAGGTCAGTATACTTAAGATTACAGCTTTAGTCTCAAAGTGGTTCCATGGATCTTTGCAGGTAGAGGACGAGCCATTTTCTAATGTGAGCTTCACTGAAGAAATCAATTGATTCTATTATCTCTTTAAAAGGATTGTGGTTTATTTCCTCTGGGAATTGTTGAGGACATCTTTTGTCGGTATAGGAGAAAGTAATTGAATTTTCAAAGGCTGTATCTTCCTTGGGTTCTCCAACTGCACGTATTTCACTTTTGTTTCCCCTATCATGTCAGATGGAAATGCGTGAAAATATACAATACTATCTGATGAGTTAAAATGTTTTCTCAGAGAGGTTGAGATTTGAAGCTTGTCCCTGAAATGTAACTAGCTGGATTCCTAATGAAACATATCCTTATCAAAGTAATTTTCTAAATACAATATTTTCCCCCAGAAGTTTCCTTACTTAAAATAGCTTGTTCATATGTCCTTTTGATAGTGTTTTCACAAACGGAGACATGTTGATACCGCCTGTGAAAATTCTCCTCCCCAAGTTCACGCTGAAAAGTTGGAACGGTGTCCTTGGACTGATAAATGAAAAAGTATCTTCTCGCTCTGGGGGTATCCACAGGTAAGCAGTGCTTATGTGGCTAATGTCATGTGTACACAACTTCTGAAGACAGTGGTGGGAGTACACCAGATGCAGAGTAGATGGGATTGCATACACAGCCTTAGATTACTTTAAAAGCAGCTGAGTCACATTCATAGTGGCTACTGGCTATTGAAGCAAGACAGCAAGTATCTGAATGCCAACTCCTGAGGAGCAACAGCAAGAGAGGTATATTGCCCACATGCCCTACTTGTGGGCTTTCGATAGTTATTTGGGTGGCCAGCATTGTGCCTGCACTGGGCCAGTGTAGTCTTCATGGGTGTAGCCAAGATTTTTGTTGGGGGGGGCAAGCCTTTTATTAGGCAGAGGGCCTTCTCGGTGATGGCGCCTGCCCTGTGGAACGCCCTCCCATCAGATGTCAAGGAAATAAACAACTATCTTGACTTTTAGAAGACATCTGCAGGCAGCCCTGTTTAGGGAATTTTTTAATGTTTATTCTGTTTTTAATCAGTTGGGAGCTGATTATTGAGGGCAGGACTCTTGTTTGGGACGGGGCAGAACCTCAGTTATGTATTTTTATTTATTTGTATTGATTCAGGAGGAGCAGCTGCCTTTACCTGCCTCCCCCTTGGCTACGCCCTGGTAGTCTTTGAAAATTGCTTCAGAAAAATGGAACCAATTTTCTTGGTTTTTCCAAAGTTATAATTAAACAAGCTGCTAGTGGAGCTGATAATTATGCACACTGGAGGGACTGTATTCTGTTGATAGGTATAATATACTTACTTTTTCAATATTCATTTCTTACAGACTGTTTACATTAAATGGCCAGTCTGTACATGGGTCTGACGAGCTAGAACATAACCATTTTTACGTTGCATGCGGCAAAGAAAAATTTCAGCCTTTGCCGTACTGGCAGCATCCTAGAGTTCCAGAAGATATTCGGCGGTGAGCACAATATTAATGATTTAACTTAATTGATGTTACATTTATGGGATATTAAAAACTGACATTATACCTCCTGCCCCCCCTCCCTTTGCTTGGGTTAGTATTTTGCTAATTTGGATTTTAGCCCTTTTAGTGGAAGTTAGTGTTGCTAAATTGTTCCAAATTCTATTGAAATCTGTAAACATTAAACACCTGAGTCCTGTTAAACCGTCTTAGAATGTTGCTTTCTTTATTGTAGGGAGTTTTTAGGGACAGGACGAACTCTTGTTTTCTTAGGCATTCAATAGATTCACTTTCATATTCATGTCACTTGGGATTTAAGTGCTAAACATTTTTTTGGGTTTCTTATAATGGGAAAGGGCAAACGCTACAGGACAAGTGACTTCATAATAGTTGAGATGCACAGGAAATATGAAATGGTTTGGAGAGGTTTTATATATATTGAAAGCAGCAGCTTGAGCCCACAGCAATCCTATTGCCTCAAATGATTGGTTCATAGCACTTCTATTTTGTACCAGTGGCGTTTATTTTATTTTAATATTTTTATTAATTTTCCATTTCATAACATTTAAATACATCCTTGTTATTCACAGATGTTTTTGCTCATATGAGCTAATCGACTTCCCTCCCTCCCGTCTAATGGTTTCCCTAATTCCCTAAGTGTTGTTAATTGTTTACAAATTTCCTTCAAATATTGTACAAATTTACTCCAATCTTTTTGGAAGGCTTGTTCGTGCTGGTTTCGGATTTTCCCGGTCAGTTCCGCCAGTTCTGCATATTCCACCATCTTTATCTGCCACTCTTCTATTGTTGGTAATTCCTGCTGCTTCCATTTTTGGGCTAAAAGAATCCTTGTTGCCATTGTTGCATACATAAATTATTTCTGATCTTTTTTGGGGGGATTTCTTCACCTACTATACCCAATAAAAATGCTTCTGGTTGTTTTTTTTAAACAAATGTACTTTTGTACATTTTCTTTAACTCATTATATATCATTTCCCAGTAAGCTTTACTTTACTGCATGTCGACCACATATGATAGAAATTTCCATCCTTTTCCATCCATTTCTTTACATTTCCTTATTTCTAGTCTTATACATTTTAGCAAGTTTAGTTGGTGTTATATACCATCTACACATCATTATCATAACCTTTTCTTTTAAAGCACCACAGGCAGTAAATTGAATTCCTTCGTTCCATAACTCTCCCCATGACTCTAACTGAATATTATAACCAAAATCCTTAGCCCATTTATGGATATGTTTACATTTCATGCTAAACCATGTCTTAGCACCGCACACACTGGTTGGGCTTCCACCCCACCCCTGCCTTTCCTGCACTCCTTGCATCCACCCGTAAAACACACACACACACAAATCCAGCCACTGTAGTCTGTTAAGGATTTCTGGGAATTGTAACTCTGTGAAGAGAAAACTACAATGCCCAGAATTCTTTGAGAGAGAGAGAGAGAGAGAATATGCTTTGAATGTGCTTGAAAGGCATAGTGTGTACACATTCCTAGTAGGAGGACTTTGGCAGCTTTGGCTGCCACTTTCATTTAAATTTAGTCATTGCATTCAAACCCAGGATCGTGGTTTTACCACTAACCTCTGTGGTTTACCACTAACCTCCGTGGTTCTGAAGCTGGCTTGTTCTTACAGAGACCTTACATTTTAGTATTTACCGTATTTTTCGCTCTATAACACGCACCAGACCATAACACGCATGTAGTTTTTAGAGGAGGAAAACAAGAAAAAAATATTCTAAACAAAACAGTGGATGTATGATTTTTGTGGTTCATGCTGTGGCCACAGACATGTGATCTGACGGTGAGTTTGGGGTAGCCCAATGCAAAAATCCTGAGGATCCATGTGGATCCATGCTAAAGTCGCCCTAAAGTCGCAGGGGCGCTGGGGAGTGAACAGGAAGCAGGAGGAGGAGAACAATCCCTCTCACACACAGACACACACACACACACACACACAGAGTATCAATCCTAAAGTCGCAGGAGAGCGCAGGGGCGCTGGGAGTGGGAAGCAAGAGAAGGAGAACGATCCCCCCCCCTCTCTCTCTCTCTCTCACACACACACAGTATCAATCCTAAAGTCGCAGGAGAGCGCAGGGGCGCTGGGAGAGTGAAGGGGAAGCAAGAGGAGAACGATGCCTCACACACACACACAGACACACACACACACACACACACACAGAGTATCAATCCTAAAGTCGCAGGAGAGCGCAGGGGCGCTGGGAGAGTGAAGGGGAAGCAAGAGGAGAACGATGCCTCACACACACACACACACACACACACAGAGTATCAATCCTAAAGTCGCAGGAGAGCGCAGGGGCGCTGGGAGTGGGAAGCAAGAGAAGGAGAACGATCCCCCCCCCTCTCTCTCACACACACACACAGTATCAATCCTAAAGTCGCAGGAGAGCGCAGGGGCGCTGGGAGAGTGAAGGGGAAGCAAGAGGAGAACGATGCCTCACACACACACACACACACACACACACACACACACAGAGTATCAATCCTAAAGTCGCAGGGGCGCTGGAAGTAGCAGGGGCGCTGGGAGAGTGAAGGGGAAGCAAGAGAAGGAGAACGATGCCTCACACACAGAGAGACACACAGAGTATCACTCCTAAAGTCGCAGGAGAGCGCTGGGGCGCTGTGAGAGTGAACAGGAAGGAGGAGGAGGAGAACGATAGCTCAAGCACACACACACACACACACACACACAGCCCCTACAGTGGCTGATCCAAAATCGGACAGCAAAAAACTGCAGGCAGGGACACGGGGTTGTTTTAAAGCAACCAGCCCCGATCTGCTTCTCTCCCTCCTCCCGGCTAGGCTGGCTGAAAAGCTTTGCTGCTACTTAGCAGCTCAGTGGAGAAGAGAGAGGGACATAGAGCACGGGGTTGTTTTAAAGCAACCAACCCCGCTCTGCTTCTCTCCCTCCTGCCCGGCTCGGCTCGCTGACAGGAGCCGCTTACACCCGCTTTGCAGTTTCAAAGAGAGCCACGGACTGCTCACAACTGCAGCGGATTCCCCTGCCATCTGTAGGCATTCGCTCCATAACACGCACAGACATTTCCCCTTACTTTCCAGGAGGAAAAAACTGCGTGTTATAGAGCGAAAAATACGGTATATCAGGCTTCCTCAACCTCGGCCCTCCAGATGTTTTGAGACTACAATTCCCCTGACCACTGGTCCTGCTAGCTAGGGATCATGGGAGTTGTAGGCCAAAAACATCTGGAGGGACAAGGTTGAGGAAGCCTGATTTATATAATATATCCTGCATGGTAGTAAAATTGATGAGGAGTAAATCATAGATCTACTTCAGTGCAAATTCTTCAATGAAAAAAGCGCATCATGGTTTGATTCCCGCCCCCCCTTTTTTTTGCTGGAAGAAGTTTTTAAACTTTTAAACTTTTTAAACGAAGCATAGTTAGTGGAAACCACTAACTACCATCAAAGTAACAGGGCAGGGGAGCAAAACAAACCCAGAAAACCAGAGGGAACTTGATCTTGCAGACAGCGCAGCACAAGAGATACTACTTTGTGAAAGAATTGGAGAACGTTGGATTCAATTCAGTGGATTTGTCTACTAGCCAGCAGCTGTTAGGATCTCTTCTTCTCTGTTTTCTTTTCAGTGCCAGCCTCCTTTCCCCCCCTTTGTGGAAGAATCAAGCAGTGAGTCTGAGCCATTACGGCTGCTCCCCCCCCCCTTCAGAGCTCTTGCTCTGACAGGACACAGGAAGGGAGCTGGATGTGTTGAAAGCATAGCACAACTCTTGTGTTCACCTCTCTGGCCTGGCCGCCTCTCTGAGTGAACTTGCTTGAGGAACATAGGATTCACAGAACAGTTGGAAGGGGAACCCCAAGGGTTGTTGAGTCCAACTCGCTGCAGTGCAGTAATCTCAACTAAAGCATCCATAACAGATGGCCATTCATCCTCTGCTTATGAAGGTACCACCTAAGTCAGGCTTCCCCAAACCTGGCCCTCCAGATGTTTTGGGACTACAATTCCAATCATCCCTGACCACTGGTCCTGTTAGCCAGGGATGGTGGGAGTTGTAGTCCCAAAACAGCTGGAGGGCCGAGTGTGGGGATGCCTGACCTAAGTCAACAGAAATGTGCAAGAGATTTGTGGGCTTGTTTCAACCTGGCCAGCATCCTTTGCAGGCACACTGAAGGTGTGTTCTAGAAACCTCTATGCCATAGTGTCTATAGTGTTGCGCCCTGCAGAGCCAGAGGGCTCACAGGAGTTTGGATTTCGCAGAAGAACCAAGGAAAAAGTCTAAAACGCCAGAGTGACCACTTCTGGTGCTTTTATTGAAGAGCACCTGTGGGATGGACTCCACAGCAAGGAGATGGCTTAGTCCAGTGATGGACTGTCCGCACCCAAGCTAAGATGCATACATTCATTATACAATGGAATAGCATTTGTCACACGGGAACACAGGTGGCAAATGCCCAAACATTGCCAATGTTTCTCCTCTCTGTGCCCAACCTCCCAGCCCCACAGATAAGGGTACCATCCAAGCCGGCCAATTAGTGGAGATCAGAGCAAGCTGTGTATGAGCTCCATGCTACCACTTACTACCAATTAAGGATGGGGTCATCTTGAGTACCAACATGGCGTAAGCAGAGCATCTGGAACAGTCCACCTTTGGTTCAGCACATATAGCTGGCACCTGGTGGGAGCTCTTCTTTGCTCTTTTGCCCCTGAGCAACCGTTATCTAGCCATATTGACTTGAATTAGTTCAGATGGCCAAACATTTTTCCACTGTTTTTATTCCATCCCACAGTAATGTTTGTTATCTCACCACCGTTTACTTCCTGTGTCTGAAGCTGGTTTTGAAGCGGTTAGAAGTCCTTTCATAATATGTCAATAACTCTCTCACAATGTTGGGAAAGTTTTCTTGGTCTGTGGTTCAGGTTTTGTTTCCACCTTTCATACTGATCCAATTAGGCTTGTGTAAAATAAAACAGATATTCTTAGTGTTTGTTCCCCAACACTCTTTGCTTATGAGGTTATGGTTGAGGGCAGCTCGTTTTCAGGAAACACTTGTCATAGGGCATTCTTTAATGTATTTCCATTTGCTCTGATTTAGCTCAAGAGCTAAATCCTGAAGGTCCATTCCTGAAGGTCAGTCAGACCATCTTGTTTGAATGGTTTTTTTTTTTTTTGCCCCAGTCACTCTCTATCAGATTCCTTTAGCTGAGAGACATCAGGTGACTGACTTCTTGGAGCTCTGCCCACACTTTCATTAAGCCTCCTTATCTTGATATAGGCCTTGACTTAGATCCTTCTTTGTAAAAGTTATTCACATTCTCTCGCTCTCTACTTAAATACAGTCATACCTCAGGTTACAGACGCTTCAGGTTGCATTTTTTCGGGTTACGGATGTGCCAAAACCCGAAGTACTGGAATGGGTTACTTCCAGGTTTTGGCAGTTGCGCATGCACAGAAGCGCTAAATCGTGCTTTGCGCATGAGCGCCGAATCGCAACCCGTGCGTGCACAAATGCACCGCTGCGGGTTGCCAATGCTGCGGGTTGTGAACGTGCCTCCCGCATGGATCATGTTCGCAACCCGAGCGTCCACTGTAATGGTTATTCATTCATTTTGTACTCAGGGTTATGCCCAGTGTGTTTTCGCTTTTGTTTTGTTTCTTGTTTTTTGTGTGTGGGCGCAACTTTTCTGCATAAGCTCTGGACTTTGTAGAAAGCTACAAAGGGGCCGAGTTGCACAGTTATGCTAACTACAGCCTTACTATTTTCAGCCATGGTTATAAATAGAAAGGCAGTCTGTCCCACCAATTAAGCTTATTGCTTCAGCTGAGTGTAAACTCTTCCTAGAAACTGCAGTAGTGAGCGACAGTACAGGATCCAGGCAGGCAGTAGCCTTGTTTCTGTAAATATAATAAGAGCTGCATTTTTATTTTTATTTTGTTTAAAACTTGTGGCAGAATTATTGACAGCAGATCTGCTTCACTTAGCAAATGCTTCTGACATAGAGGTCAACAGCTTTCTCTTTCTCTTATAAAATAGAGCAGTATTCCTTCTTTACAACCACAGGTTTGCTGCATTAGACAGAAAGTTTGGTCTGTTATCTATTCCAATATCCTGAGTAAATTTGTTTTCATGTTTAAAAAATATATAGCATACATACTTTATAGAGAAGCTTTTGAATATATCTTCCTTCAACCTTCCTTTTTCCTGTTTCTCCAACTTCCCTGCCCCATTTTTGTAATTAAAAAAAAATGAATCATGGATATAAAATCAATTATGCCTGATCAATAGATGGTATGAAATATTCTTAATTTGCACAGTTTATTCCAACTGCAGAATTTGGGGTCCTTTCTTGCAGAATTTACAAAATTTGAGGCACAGAATACATAGGCTGACTGTGTGTAGTCACTCCCTGCTTTTGGCACTGCATATGATAAATAAATTGTACCTATCTGTGCAGACATTTGTCTCACTGGTCTATCAGTTTGAAGCCAGAAACTATGGTTGCCTGCCCCAAATTATTGCATCCCTACTTTTGTGTTCAGTTTCAGGAATAAAGAAAATGTTAGAAGATGGTTTTGTTTTTGGTTTTTTTAATTGCTGCTGCCTAAGAAGTGTCTAAACATTACCTGGCACGGTCTCTAGTAATCACTCCCTTCAGAAGCAAAATGTTTGCACCCTTAAAAAAGTAGTATATCAAACACCTATTGAGAATTCAGTGACATCTGTAACTTCCAGAAGCCAACTGGATGTTGGTGCCTCTTAGAGGAATAAATGCCTCCAGATATCGATAAACAGTTTTCTAAGCAGAAAGAACATGCCTAGGGGAAGTTGTAGGAAGGAAGCTTCTACCCATAACTACTCATCACATTGTTTGTGGACTATGGAAGTTAAGCACGAAGCACCAAAGGATTTGAACCAGGAGTGTTAGAGATCAGGCAATAGTTCCTTAGTTGTCCAGGAGTGCGTGAGCTGCAGGTGCTTACAGCCTGCAGAGTTTTGAATTCTCTTGATTTCCGAGTCTTTAGGGGCAGCCCATCTTATTGGTCCACCATCCTGGCTGTTTTCAGACCAGTGCAAAACATCAAACCAAGCAATACGTCCTGGCTTGTCTGTGGGCAGTTGGTTATTGCTGAGATAGACCTGCAGTTATCATGTAGACGAGGGATGGCTAACCTGTGATTCTTCGGCTGCTGTTGATCTACAGCTCCCATCATCCCTGACCATTGGTCATTCTGGCCAGGGCTGATGTGAGTCAGAATCCATATAGGCAATACTTAAGTTTGTACTACCTTTAAAGATAATGGCATTTTAAAACAAGATGGTTGTCCTAACAATATTGAGCTTTACACTTATAAATATTCACATTAAGTAAATTACACTTTATATTTTTAGGTATAATTCTAACACACCTGGACCTCTAGAAGGGCCCCCTCCGAAAAAGGTAAGGTTATTTATAATGGCTTTTAAACATTCTTATATGCTCTCCTCTCCTCCCATTTAAAAACATGGCATCAAAAGCTGCTCACTGTCAAACAAACAAGTTTCGGATGAATTCAAGTTGGGCACATCCAAATGGATTTCAATCTCTGGCCCAACTTCAAGGATTTGCAAGGCTCTGCAGTCTACATGGAGCTCTGCATGGACAATGTGTGTGAATTACGTGTGGGTTACGAACTTAATTCATTCCGGAGGTCCGTTCTTAACCTGAAACTGTTCTTAACACAAGGTACCATTTTAGCTAATGGGGCCTTCCGCTGCCGCCACGCCACCAGTGTGTGATTTCTGTTCTCATCCTGAGGCAAAGTTCTTGACCCGAGGTACTACTTCAGGGTTAGTGGAGTCTGTAACCCGAGGTGTTTGTAACCCGAGGTGTTTGTAACCCGAGGTACCACTGTAGTTGGGATCCAATGAACTGCACGGCTCAGTCTGTGCTGTGAAGGAGATATTTCCTCCCTCGCCACAGTGCCAGCTGCGTTCATTACTCAGGTAGCTTTGAACAGCAGATTGTGATAATGCCAGAGATCTCATCTTCAAAGGGGTGTGTGTGTGTGTACGTGGAATCAAAAATCCTAGGGCATGCTTAAACTGTTAAGTGTGGTTAAAGTACCATACTTTTCCATGTATAAGACGATGCTTTTTTACTCTAAAATAATGTTCAAAATCTGGGCTCATCTTATACACGGATAGCATTTTCTTAAATCAGAGTCCCCCAAAATAGGGGACGTCTTATACATGGAGGCGTCTTACAGACAGAAAAATATGGTAGCTCTTTGAATCCTATCCATTGTCATTAGCAAGAAAGGCAATAATAATAATAATAATAATAATAATAATAATTTATTATTTATACCCCGCCCATCTGGCTGGGTTTCCCCAGCCACTCTGGGCGGCTCCCAATCAGTGTTAAAAACAGTACAGCGTTACATATTAAAAACTTCCCTGAACAGGGCTGCCTTAAGATGTCTTCTGAATATCAGGTACTTATTTCATTCATGCTTCTCCAATATGTGTGCAACCGTTCAAGTGCGCATCACCGCAACCTGGAAGTGGCCAGAAAAGGGGGTAGGACAGGGGCAGAGCAGGCTTATGCATACTCCACTGGTGTGTGTGTGTGGGGGGTGTCTGTCCCCCCACCTTGTTGTTTCATTTTCCTTGTATTATGTGATTTGCAGTACATTTATCACAGTCTGTTTCCCTGCAAAATTTATTTGCGCTACAATAATACTTTATTTCAAAATTGTCTCCTTTTAATAGCTAATATGCAAATAAGAAGGAAAAAAAATCTCTTTAAAATACCTTCAATTGTGTTTGAATGCTATAGTCTTGTTCTTTATATTATTATAGGCTTTGGGCCATTTTTTTTTCATGTGGGTGAATCTTATAGTTATAAGAATTACCTGAGCTTGGAATTATCTGTAATAAGAGAAGTAAACATGAAGAAGAGATGTTTTTTAATGTGAGACGGCAAAACAGTAAAAAGAGCAACTTTTATTAAAGAACTTGAGTTGCCTAAAGCCACCAAGTTTTGGGTTGAACTGAGGTATTTTCCCCCTCAGTCCTAATCATGCCCAGCCACTTGACTAGGGGGGCACCAACTTTTTTGGACCAGCGAGCACATTCTGAGTTTTGAGAGACTGCTGTGGGCTCCAGTCACAAAAATGGCCGGGGGGGGGGGGTAACTCATATGGCTGCTTTTGGAAGGCATGGTGTCTCACACAAAATTAGAGAGGGGACAGTCATGGTAAAAGCTTTCCCCTAATTGCATTTCTATACCAGAAGAGGCTTAACCTGTTGAGTTTCTGCCTTCCTGTACAGCTGTTTAAAGGCAAAATCTGCTTTTCTCCAATGCCAACTCTGAACCAAAGTCCAGACTGCCACTTAAATGGGAGGAATCCCTGTAAAACGCCAAACTTACTTCTGAGTAGACCTGGATACCATTGGACTGTAACTTAACTGTACAGTGAATACTTAACGAGTGCTTGGTCTTTAGCTGCCTAAAGCTCTCTGCAAAGTGAATCACATTTGCCTTTTGTGGAGATTCGTATTGCCTGGCGTTTCAAAAGCCTCACTTTTAAAGTGCCTTCGGAGTGATGAGGGTATTTGGTTCTAGTGATGTCATAAAGGCACTAGCCAGCAGTCAGCCCTTAGCAGTCAATCATACACCTGTAGTCTTCTATTTGGGATATGTTTTCACAAGCCACCAAAGCAAAAACACCCACCTCATTCTGAAAATGCTATGACTAACAGTCCGGTAGTTGCAATCCTGTATCCACATACCTTGGAGCAAGCCCTGCTAAACTCAGTGGGGCTTATTTTTGACTTGATATATAGGTTTGCTTGCTTTGTGGGTCAGACTTGCATGTGAAACCTTATTTGTCCTATAAAAGACATCCTTATCAATATTGCTTTTTATTGACTGAAAGGAAGGCCAGTTGTAGGTCTTCTCACCCAATATTTACTTGTTTTCACATTTTGTTTTAACCTTTGTATACTGCTTTTCACCAAAAAGCAACATTTGCGTGGACAGGCAGAGTCCCCAGGTCCCGAGCCGCCCCCCCCATCATGTGGAATAACGACTCAAGACAACATGCTATGGAATTAAATTGGCCACAACTTTATTAAATTTCAAATGTGGGTAGACCTTGGCTCAGGCATTGGGCGTTCTCCCTCCCCAGTCCCCAGCCGGGGACCTAGGGAGCATCAGGGTTATCCAGTGTGTGTGGGGGGGATGGGCCGGCTCTGGAGAACATATGTTCAAGCAGAGATAGCCGCCCCCGTTACACCGCCGCCGCCGCAGGGGAGAGCAATGACGACCTTTCGGCGTACGGTCAAAGCCTCCCTTCAGAAACCCCTTTAACGGGGAACCCTGGTATCGCCGCTGCAAGAGGAAGATGGACAAAAGGATTCCGCCCAAGGCTTGATACTGCCAAGTTGTGACGTTTTGCTACGG